CCCCCCCCCCCCCCCCCCCTCTCTGCCTCCAGTCCCCTAAGCTACCCCAACGCGGCCAGCCCCTGCACTGAATAGCATAAGAAGCACTATATACATAGATATATTGCAGTATTAACTTCTCTTTTCTTCACATAGAACACTAACAAAGAAATACAAATACAGGATACGGCTCTTTGGAAACTTGTTTGATTCCTATTAACACTGATGATGAACTACTCAGCCGAGAAACAGAGCAAATTTACACAGCTACCAACAGTAATATCATATTACATAATTTCGAACATCTCTTAGCCAGAAAAAACTACATCAAAATCTTGTGCAGATTTTCATCTCTCACAATATGAGAAATGAAAAATTACGATGTTCAGTTGACGTGTTTTCCAAAGAGAGGTATAAGCTGTTTCTCCAAACCTACCAAACTGAAAGCAACATATCAGAGTAAGCGTTGAAATTGCATGATAGGCGATCACTTTTCAGACGAAGGCAAAAGAATGATAAAATAATGTACATACATCTCATATTTCAGCAAAGCTTCACTATGTTTTGCTTTGTAGAGCTCACTATCTCTAGGTATGCTGCTCAAACTAGGGCCTGTAGATTTGAGAGAGTGAAATGTAATAATTCATGTCAATCATGAAGATGAAAATAAAAAGTGACCAAAAGTAAAAGAGAGATGAAATGAGGAATCTCAGAGCAACCAAATTGGCAGCATTAATGATGATCATATATTAAATTAAATGAGATGTAGACTTGAAGGGGACCTTCATATCTGATACCCATACCCAGAGACAGCCCTTAAATCCGCTACCAATTTTTTACCCAAGTGTTCAAGGGTTAACAAGATAAAATCAGAATTATGAAAGAACATAGAGAGGCAGACCATAAAATTATGATAAACAATTCTTCTGCAAAATCCACCTCCCAGTCTTGCAACGGTCTCTTGCCAGTTTGACACGAGACCTCCAACATTCGGAGATCATTCCCCTCTTGTTTATTGCAACAGCATGTAGTTGAAGGAATTCCTTTGGTAATATCACAATATCATCCAAACATCAGGTCAAAATATTCACTTGGTGCCATTGCCCACCACAAAACCCAAAATCAACTAATGTATTCATAAACCCCCTCCAAAGTTCCACTCTGTGGTTTGCTTTCTCTGTCATGCCTATATCCCTCAATATGGCCGCGCTTTTCAGCAGCTATAGTTTTAATACAGCTGTTTGGTACGCCATGAGTCCCGCCTAAATTGAAGCTTTCATTAAATGCCTTGAAGCTTACGTCTTGAATGCATCTGTCAAGGCTTATGCCACAATTAGTGAGGATTACACCTCAAGGCCAAGCCTAAGGGTGGCTGAGACTTGTTTGTCTTGCCTTTTTGGAAAAATTATATTACTGGCTTTAGCTTTTTGGACTATTTGTTTATATAACCTATAAAGTTTGCAGCCTTTTTGTTTACTTTTTTCTACCTTTACGTGCAAGGGAAAGAAAAGGCACCATTACAAGTGGAGGATGATGAGAAAAGATAAGGGAATCAAATATGTTGATGACTCTCTTAAAGATTTATAATGATGATATTGGAGACTTCTAAGTTGTTTCTAGTTCTAGTAGAATAACAATTTTTTACGTGATTACTAATTTTGAACTTATT